GGGGTCCCGGGTTCCGGTCCGGGGCCGGGTACCCGGCCGTCGGTCGGTCGGACGAACGAACGTACCCGCCGTCCGCCGTCCGTCGTGTGTGTGTGTGTGTGTGTGTGTGTGTGTGTGTGTGTGTGTGTGTGTGTGTGTGTTAGCCAGGGTAGGGGAGTTCGGGGACTGTCCCTTTCTGTCTAAGTCCTTGCACCAGGTTCCAGGTTCCAGGTTCCCCTCTAAGCAGTGTTGGGGGACGGGGTCCAAGATGTTTCCCTTTTTTTTTTTTAACTTTTGGGGGTAGATAATTAAGTTTATTTATTTTTAGACGAGGTACTGGGGATTGAACCCAGGATCTCATGCATGCTAAGCATGCACTCTACCACTAGAGCTATGCCCTTCCTCCTTGAGGTGGTTCTGAGGGAGCTCCTGCCTTAAGAAGCATCACTGGACGGCTTCCCCAGTTGTGAGGACGGAGGGTAGGCTGGACGTGTTGTGGCTGGAGCTGGGCTCTGGAGACCTTCAGACCTGGGCGTGACTCCTGATTCTGCCCCCTCCTAGCTGTGTGTCACACGTAATCAGTTTCTCCGAGCCTTAGTTTTTCCCTAAGTGAAATGGGGCAAATCTCCCTCAAAGGGTTCAGGAAAAGAGGTGAGATGATGCCTTGAGGCGTCCAGCATGGCGCCTGGCCTACAGCAGGGGCTGGAAAGAGAAGCCACACGGCTGGCACTTGGGGCAGGAAAGCTGGCCTGGGACAGGGCTGCCCAACAAGAGCCCCCAACCTGGGCAGACCCTGGGACTCATCACTGGAGTCAGTGAGGGGCATTCATTTGTTCCTTTGTTCACTCTCTCATCTCCTTCACACCAGTGCCCCTGGGAGCTGGGGATATTGGGAAGTGGACCACCTCAACCCTCTGGGAATTCATAGGCTTGTGGGGTCGGGTACAAGCTGTGGCTGTGGCCATGGTAAGAATTTCACTAGTGCCTTGGGCTGGGCCTCAGAAAGAGGCCGTTGCCCTGGGTCTGGGAGCCTGAGTGGGGGTGTACGTCAGGTGGAGAAGGTGGCAGAGGCATTGCAAGCAGAAGACGTGGCCGGGGGCACTGGCCGTATGGCTGGAGTGTGGGGAGGTTTTGAGCACAGGGGATGCTCAGACTCTGAGCTCAGAGGCAGTGAGGGGAGCACACGGTTGAGTCCTGCCCCTTCTATGACCCGGCCTCCCATCCTCTTTGCAGCCTTGAGGGAAGGTCGGGTGCTGGTGGCCTAGGCAGCCTCCTGCCAGTCACACCACCCTTTGCCCCCTTCTGTGTTGAAGGCAGCTCCTTAAGCAGGGAGAGGTTGGGCTTGGCTGATGGGGCAGCCCCCAGGCCCTCCAGAAATCGATGCCTTTGCTCTTCTTCTGCAGAGAAGAGGCTCTTCCCACCATCCCATCGCAGGCTTCCCAGGAGGCCTAAAACCGTATGGATTTTAGGACAGGATGCCCCTGGGCACTGTGTGTTGCCTTCTTTACCGCCCTGTTCAGGAAAGGCATGGTTGGGTTACGTCTCGTGGGTGCAAGTCACCCCTCACTCCTGACCTGTGTCCAACCTGAGCACTCAGGAGACATTGCTGCCCTGCTCTCGGGGGCCAGGACTGAGCTCCTGAGCACGTGATGGGGGACGGGTGGGAAGTGACAGCCTTCATAGACATTTAGGGGCTCTAGCAGTAGAGTCTGGGACCTGTGAGGACCTCCAACACAGCCACCACACCCTCAGCTCTCCCCTTTGCAAAGCACAACACACTCTCTTCCTTTGACCTCTTTCGAGGTGGAGCTGGGGGTAGCTGGGCCATTTGGGTCTCAAATGGTGGAATGGAGGGCAGGGGACAGGGTCCACACTGTCAGCCAGGACACCCAGTCCTTGGTCTCCGCTCTCCCAAAGATGTGCTCTGTGACTCTGCCCCAATCCTATCCCTCTCAGGGCCTTTGCTTCACCCTCTGCCCAGCAGCAGGGGCAGGTGGCCAGACCCGCCCTGTTCCAGGGTTCTCTGGAGGGTGGTGGGGATGGTTCTCGGGCTGGGTCTACTCACTGGCTCCGTACATCTTGGATGGTGTCAGGCAGCGGCAGGCTCTGGGTGATCAGCACTGCCCCTGCCCCATACACCAGCAGGGGCAGCGAGGCGCAATGTGCGCCTAGCAGCCAGGCCAGAGGCCCCAGGATGGCTCCCCCTTGGGCCGCCATCTGGCCCAGGCCTGCCATGGTCATCCTGCCGGCATAGATGCACTTGTGAGGGGCCATACTGCCTGACTATGGCTTTGACTTCTCATTCTGGCCCAGCCCTACTTGGCCCAGGGAGGGACAGTGGGTCAGGCTGGGCTGGGCCACACCTGGGCAGCCCTGAGACCATATGAAAGAGAAATTCGGGGCACGAACATCTGGTCCAGGTGAAGGCCTCCCCTCTGCACCCTCCCAGCCACGATGTCCCCCTCCTTGGGCCTCACCTGAGCATGGTGGGGAAGAGCTCGCCAGTATAGATGGTGATGCAGTGGAAGGCGGCCCCCACCCCACCGAGCCCCAGTATGGTAAGGGCTGAAGGCAGGGCCCCCATATCTGTAGATAGAGACAGGATTAGCAGGTTGTTGGTGGGGGCTCCAGGGTCAAATGCGGGCTCTCCCTGACCTTCCCAATGTCTGCAAGTCACCTCCACTTGGGTGTCCCCAGATCCCACACATGCACTGTGTCCTAAGTGACCTTATGGCCACATTCCTTGCCCCAACTCTGCCCCGCACCCAGACACCCAGAGCCAGACCCTGGGACTCCTCCTCGACCCCCTCCATGTCTCTGCCCTCCCACCCTCCCTGCAACCCATCACTGAGTTCTTATTTTGTCTCCACAATTTTTCACGATGCTCCTCCTGCTCCTGGTGTGGGCCACCACCATCTCTTAGACACCCTGGCAGCCTCCTTCCTAACTGGGCCCTGCTTTAGCTCAGTACCCTCTGACAAGGAGGACAAAGGGTCCATGTTTGTGGCTTAAGCTCCCCCCAGGTAGAAAGGCTTTGGCCACAGCCATGCACACCCAGGCCCACCCGCTCACCATGGGGGCACCAGTGTCTTGGCCAGGATGCGGGGCCCGGCTAGCACCAGGGATGTCGCCGTATGGGCCTGCGGCCCAGGCTTCTCAGCAGCCGCACGGCGCCGGTCTTTGCCGGAATATCAACGACCCTGATGAGAACCTGGAGCAGGAAGATGTTGCCGCCTGGGGCCTGCAGGGCCAGGGCCAGGCCGAAGAAGGCAAACCCAAAGGCAAACCTGGGGGTCGGGGGTGGGTGGCAGGTGGAGTCAGGCTGAGGAGTGGGCGGCTGGTTTGCTCTCAGACCTGTTTTCATTCTCCTCCTGCTGGATCTCCTCGGTGGAGGGTGGTCTCTGAGGACTACATTTCCCAGGTCCCCTTCCCAATGGCACTCCTTATTAGGTTTGGCCAATGGGAAGCACTGGTGAGAGGCTAGAGGTGGGACCAAGGGAGAAGCTGGGGTATATCTCCCTCCCTCTCTCTGGGTGCCGTGTTGGGCGGTGGCTGTGTTGCCTCCACGGCTCTAGCTTCTACTGAGCAGGCCCTTCATTTGCGGTCCCGGTGGCCCTGGTTTCTGGGCTCTGACAGTACCTCTCCCTCCTCCCTGGGCATTCCAAACTGGGGTGGGTGTGCCTTTCTATCATTGAATTCTTTGACTGCCTCCTCTGTCTACTGGGCTCGGCAGCTCTCTCAGCGCCTTGGTCATGAGTCCTCCTTATTCATCTCTTCTGTTGATTCTCCCCGACCTGAACCCACCTGAGCCTGACTGAGAGAGGGGAGGTGCCTGTGCCCCCTGGCTGGCTGCCTGCCTGAGCCCTGATTCCAGGTTCCCTGGCTGCTGGTGGCCAGAGGTGGAGGCTAGGGCCCGGGCAGGGTGGGCGTTGAAGGGGCATCTACCAGCACTGGGCGGAGACGCAGGTCCGGAGGCACAGTCCAGGCGTGCGGAGCAGAGCGCCCCCTGGCAGAAGCCTGGCCCACACTCAGCTCCTCCTGCATGGCTGAGAGCAAGACCTGGGGGGTGGGGGGCTCCGTTAGCACTGGGGGCACTGGCCCAGCCCCCCTCCTGACGACCCTTATCCTGGGGGGCCAGGGCTCTCTGTCTCCCAGGGGTCCTGTGCAGGGCAGGGAGAGGGACTGACAGTCTAGCCCTGGGGGAAGGCCCAGCCCCACCTCACCTCGAGGGTCAGTGAGGCCCTGCTGCCCTCTTCCTGTTGATGACAGCCACCCTCCGCAGCTCCTGCAGGCCCGGCTCCAGCCTGCCCCATTATGATGAGCCATCGTGCTGACTCCCCCAGCCACCTGCGACAGGGGAGGGGAGGGAATGGGGAAGGGTGACTGCCTGTTGCCCCAGGACCTGGCCTGCATGAGCCTCACTGCCCTTCTGGCCCCTTCTGCCCAAAGGGAGGGGTGGCCTCCCCGGCACCCACAGGCTCAGGGTGGCTTCAGGTCAGTGGGGGGGGGCAGCAGAGGGCACTGTGGGTGTGGGGCCAGGCTTTCTCAGTCACCCTCCTTCCCCAGCAGGCCACCCTTTCTGTCTCCTTCCTCTACCCTCTCTTGAGCTGGGGCTGGGGGTCCCTGTCCTTCCCTTCCTGTCTCCTGACCCCGTGGCCCTTCCCCTGCCTCATGTGGGAACCGAGCCTGGGCGGGCCTGTGTGCAGTGCGGACGCCCTGAGACGGCTATAGGATCGCAGCTCTGCAAGCTCATCTGCCCTCCCCGTCCAGCAGGGTGGGTGACAGTTACCGCCTCCTGGATGCCCATCGGCCCTACGTATCCCAGCGCCCCTTCTCCATGGCAGGACTCAGCCCCTGGCACTAACCTGGCTCCCACGGCCCCCAACATCAAGCCCAGACCCCCTGCACCATCCAGCCCAGGCCACCAAGCCCCTTCAGCGCCCACCTCTCGACACTGGCTCTTGTCCCCAGCGAGATATGCTTTCCCTTGTGAGCAGTGGCCAGGGTGGGGCCACCTGCTCCACACCCACTGGGGCCCTGAGGTCCTTCCGGGTTTGCAGAGCAGGTGGGGGGGATTCAAGCGTACGTTAGAGATAGAGTCAACCAGCCCATGTGACCAGTTGGACCTGGGGTACAGGGACCGTGAGGGAGAGGGAGCTGTCAGGGTGACTCTGACTCCACTGCGTGCTGGATGGAGGGGGGCTACTGGCAATGCTGGGGAGGCCCTGGGGAGGAGCAGGGGATGTGATGTTTGTAAGGAGACATTACGTTTGTGATGCTGAGACACCAGTAATGGAGACTTCACACTGGTCATTGGAGACCAACAGAAGGACTGAGGAGGGGCTTTGAGGGTCTCCAGCTTGTGGAGGGAGAGCCATGGACACAGGTGAGGTCACTGGGTAGGGAGCATTGGTGCCCATCTCTGTGCTGCAGGGACTGAGCGAAGTGGGAGCAGAGCGACGGTGACAGGGTCGTTGGAGTGGGTTGGAAGAGACTGGGAGGGAGGAACTGGGGGCGGCACATGCAGATACTTCTCATGAAGAGAAATTATTTCGGAAGAGAAGCAGGAAAGCCAGCGGGAGCTGAAGGGTCCCATCTCAGATGCCCCGCCCCTGCCACTGATTCGTCGAATCCTAGGCATGGTTTGTGATGCTGTGATGTGTGGGATTTCCTGTGAGTGCCACGTGGGCAGCGGCCCTGTCTGTTCTGCTCCCCGCTGTCACCCCTGGCACCAGCCAGTGCCCTGCCTGCGGTGGAGCTCAGTAACAATTTGTTGAAGTAATGAAGTAGTGAAGTAATGAATGCACGTGGGCACATGGCACCTGTGTGGGCACATCTGCCAAGGAAAGTGAGTTCAGCCCCACGGACCAGCGTCAGCATCAGAGAGCCAGGAGGGTTGCCCTGAAATCTGCATCACTGACCTTTGCCCTCCACCCTCTTGGGATAGGGGTCAATCTGCCATCCCAGAAGGCCACATGTCAGGCATGAGCGCCTCCTCTCGGAGCCACTGTGTGCGACGTGACTGACTCTTGTTCTGGAGAGTGACTGCAAATTAGTTGCTAAAGGTTCCATTTTAAGAGCTTTTCTGCTCCAAGCTGTTGGGCTGGGAGAGATCTGTGGAGTCAGCCTTCCTCGTAGTGTGGGTGTAGGTGCCCCGTTCCCCACTGGTCCTCTGCTGTGGTCCTTTCTATGGTGGCTGCAATGGCCAAGTGACTACCAAGCGCCGGGCTTATATGTGAATGAGCCAGGCTCAGTTCTGCCCTTAAGGGCCGTCCTTCCGTCCTTCCATCCATCCATCCACCCACTCATTCATTTACCTACCTACCTATCCATTCATCCATCCATCTGTCCATTTACCCACCCATCCATTCATTCATCTGTCTGTCTGTCTGTCTGTCTATATATTTACCCATTCCTCCAACAAATATTTATTGTGCACCTGCTACATGCCACGAGCTTGGCAAGGGCCATGCCTGGTTTATTTCAGGACAGCACAGACATTTCCTAACCTCCCATATGCGTCAGCCCTGTGTAGGGGAACAGAGGACCTATCGGATGGTTGGGTCGTGGTCCCTGTCCTCTAGCAATAATGTCAGTGTGTAAGGCCGACTGCAGCTGTGTTCTGGGAGTGGTGTGTGTGTGTGTGTGTGTGGTATCTTTGCATCCCATCTTCCACCTGGTCTAGTGCTTCTGTGCCTGGCACAGAGGAGGGGCCTGGAGGCACACTGGCTGAGGCAGGCAAGGACAGGAGGGGGAAGGAGGGGCCAAGAGGTGATGGGAAGGAAGAGGGAGGGAGCAGCATGAGTAAGGGAGGAGGAGACTCTTGGGAGGAGCAGGTGAAGAAGCATCCTGGGCACTTGAGCCCTGGGTTGGAGTGGGTGAGCTGGGGCTGGGCCAGGCTCCTGTGGCTCCCCTCCGGCATGCTCCCCTGGCCTCCTGCGCCCCAGCTCTCTGCACCCAGGGTGGAGGGTGGGCAGGGTCTCCTTGGAGGAGGAGGGGGGTGGGGCAGCACCCACCAGGAATACACAAAGCAGAGGAAGAAGGGGGTGGAGACAGCCAGCTGCAGCAGTGCCAGTCACGCACACCACACCATAGGCCACTGCAGCCATCAGGACCTGGCCGCAGCTGAAGCCCAGGGTTTGCACTGACGTCCACTCCATCACTGCAAGGAGACCCTATGGGTCAGTCTGGGAGCCGGCACGAGCCTCCCCTGCATGGCCTGGGGTCAGGGCACCTACAGAGAATGCCAGTGTTCATCATGACACCCAACACGACAAAGGCCACCAGGAAGCGAAACAGGCAGTACATGGGGAAGGTGGGGGCAAAGGCAGCTGCAGTGCCCGACACGGCCATCTGAATGTAGCTCCAGGTCAGCACCAGCCTGCGCCCAAACCTGCAACACATGCACACAGGGAAGGCGGCCAGGTCTGTGGTGAGCCACAGCACTGGCCACAGGGGTCTGGACCGCTGGAGCCCACCCTATGCTTGCCTGCTGCACAGAGGGATGCTAAAGCGACATCCAGGACCAGACCCACATTCTCCATCCGCGGAGGGCTCATGAGCACAGGCAGTGCCCCTGTGGCCCAGGCAGATGTGAAGGCCCTTGACAGGGAGCTCACTCCCTGTCAGCAGGGACATTCAAGCAGCAGCTGAAGGCAGGCATGTGGCTGAGCATGTAGCATCAAATGTGTGGTAAGAGCAACGCCTTCACAGCCCTAGAGGAGCCTGGGAGAAACTGGCCCCCAGAGAGGGGCTGAGCCTGGCTCAGCAGCACAGCCAGAGGGTGTCAGGAGCGAGACCCACAAGCAGGTATTTCCACTTCAGGTGGAGTTTTCTCCCCAGAACCGGCTCTGAGAGGCCAGTTCAGGGCCAGTCAGGGAGCAAAGGGGCAGCAAAGGAAAAGGGAGCCTGCCTGGACCTGTCTTACCTGTCAGAGGCTTGGCCACACACGGCAGCTCCCACCAGGATCCCAGCCAGGTAGATGGATGGGCCATGGGCTTCAGGGCCTGAGAGTCACACACCAGGTCCCACTGGTGGGAGAGGAGGAGGATCTGAGCTCGGAAGGCAGGGAGAGCCCAGGTGGGAGGGGGCAGAAGAGCCAGATGGGAAGGCCCTAGGGAGTTGAGGGTAGGGGGCAGCCTGGTGACCTCTAGGGTTATCACTTCTTGCCTAAGCCCCTCTATGGCTCCCTATTGCCCACATGTCCAAGGGCAAGTCTCCTTGGGCCTCATCTGCCTCTTTTGTTTCAGTTCCTCTGTGGCAGCCACCCCACGCTGGCACCTCCTCCCCACTTTCCCGAGCTCACTTCCCTCCTGGTCCATAAACAGGCCCCTTCCCGCTTGCTAGGGTGGGCCATGTCTCCTGCTCACCCACATTTGCCAGATGCTGCCTCTGGGAACCCAGTGAATCTCCCCAGAGTCCCCCTGAGCCCAGCGGGGGACCTGGGCTCCCAGTGCGGGGAGAGAGCTTAAGTGAGTCACAGCAGACGGGCACTCGCTCTCAGTGCCGCCCGCTCTTCCACAAGCGGCGGGCCAGTGTCTGTCTGCAGGCTCATTCCTGCCACCAAATCCTGCAGGGCCATGTGGCCGGGGAGGAGCTGGAAGCCACTGTGAGTGTAGAGGCCAGTGGCATCAGGTCCCTCCCAGGACTGGGCTGTTTTGAGTCCAGCTGATTGTGAGCTGTGACTTTGGCCTCTAAGGTGCCAGGATTTGGGGAGGGTGTCCAGGGAGGCCCTTACCTTGGCCATGATGGTGGACGTGAAGGTGCTGCGGTCATAGACCCAGCCGTCCACGCACGGCTCGGTGGCAGCCTCGCTCCAGTTGGTGGCCGTGACATTGGGGTCCAGGAGCTGCCACTGTGGGTGGCAGAAGTGGCGACACTGGTGGAGCCCATGGTTGGGGCCTGGTGGGGTGGAGATGGCCAGGAGGGCTTCGGGGCACAGGGCCCCAGGGATGCTGGCCTGGGCAGTGCTGTTGTCCACAAGGAGCACCCAGCAGCCGTGGCTGGGCACGGCAGCCGAGAAGTTCTCCCGCATGTTCTGAGTGGTCAGCCACATGATGGGGACCACCAGGGCCACTGTCTGGAGAACCCAGACTCTGCCCAGGCTGCCCACACAGTCCAGGAGTTCAGAAAAGGCCATGGAGCCCGTCCAGGGGGCCAGTGGAGGTGGCCACATCACAAAAGCCAGCCCAGGGCAAAAGGGTTAACACGAAGGGCTTGCCTCCCTCCCGGGAGCACCGGCTCCCCCGGCCCGGCCGCCTGGAGCATGGCAGCGGCTGCCTGCTCTGCATACGTGGCCCATGGATCATGGGCGCCTGCTCAGCCACTGTCACTCAGACTGGCTTTGTCTGGGACCTTAGTCTGTGAGGTGTGACCCTGAAGCCACCAGCATCTCCTCAGAGATGCAGCTGCTCCTGGACCTGTGGGAGAAGCTGAATTGAGGAAGTGGGGAAAGAGGAGGCTGAAGTCATGCAGGCTGGAATTGCTGTGACCAGGTGATACTGGCATGGGGTTAGTGAGCATTTCCTCAGTCAAAGTTTAACCCGGCCCTGGGGGAGGCACACACTCAAAGGAACAGCAGCTCCTGCCCTGCGTGGGCTGGAAGGCCGCAGCTTCGGTGGCTGTAGGGGGTCCTTGGCTCTGCCCAGGACACAGGAGGTGGGGCTGCTGTGCCCCTCTGAACCCCTGCCCCCTCTGGTGCCCAGGGCTGCCCCAGGAGAAGCCTGGCCAGGGGGTCCTCCTGATCGGGGCTGCTGTGAGCCTGAGCGACACCCCACGCGCTGTGAGGAAATCTGTGTGTGTGGCCTGAGTCGCCAGTAGGCGCCCCCCGCCTCCCAGCCCACGTCGTCGAGCCCCGGGCCTTGGGCCCTCTCCCATCTGCTGTCACTGTTGCCATCCTCCCTTCGCTGTCACCCTCTCCTGAGCCCTTCATGGGGCGTTCAAGAGTCACCAGACACCCCGCGAGCTCCTCAAGCTCAGTGTCACCCCAAGTTACCCCTCCCCAAATCCACCCCCAAACCCCATGTCTTGTTTCACACCTCCCACCCCTCCCTTCCCAGTCCAACCAGTGGCCAGTCCCACTAACATCTCCTCCTCCACCTCTCTGTCTCCACAGCCCTCCCTCCCTGCTCTGCCTGCCTCTGCTCTTGCCCCTTCAACCCATCTCCCACCCAACAAACCCTCCTGGCAAATCCTGCTTAAAAGCCAGGGAGCGGCCTCACAGCAGCAGCTAGCCAGCTGGCCTTACAGCCGGGGTAGGGATGGGGTGGCAGGGCTGGGGAAGCAGCGCATGCTGGGGCTGGGTGGGTCAAGAAAGATGGGCCCTGGGCTAAGAGAGCCCCCCTGGGTGGCAATAGTTAATTCTCCAGGCTAAAGGGCCAGAGACCCTAAAAGAGCAAAAACATGTGTGTACATATGTACATGAGTGCATGCATATGTGTGTACACGTGTGTGCATGAAGAGGTGTTCGTGTGTGCATATAAGTGCACGGATGTGTGTGCACATGTGTGTACACAAGTGAGCTCACCTGTGTGTGTGATGTGTGGCAGGTAGAGGGTGGGCAATGGACAATGAATGTGACCCAGCCCTTTCTTCTCATGTGCTCTGGGGAATGAGGCTGCGCATTTTAGGAATATCTCTCCTCCCTCTGCTTCTTTTTGTCTTGCCCGCTCTTCCCTCTGCCCATCCATGTAGCTCACGAGGTACAACCTCTTGGCCTCCCTGGTCTCTGTGCCCCGACTCACCCACTGCTTCCCACATGCACCCTGTGCTGGCTCAGTGGGATGCTGCCCTTGCTCAGGCAGTGCCCCCAGCCTGGAATGCTGTCTCCAGGCTCACCCTTGGGCCACATTCTGCATGCATAACAAGAGCCTCCTCCTCCAGGGAGCTCTCTTTGTTTATTCCTGCCTCCCCCGGGGGCTTGGAGTCATCACTGGAGCCCCATCTTCACACTGTCCTGCACTCTTCTGTTATAGTCCAGCTGGTCTTGTTTCCAGCCAATTCACGGAGGGCAGCGGCCCTTCTCTACAGCATCCTTGGAACCCAGCACTGTTTTGGATGGCATACGAAGGTTCCAAGAACACTTGCTCAGCTGGTTTTAAAAACAGCTTCTTTTTTTCCCCCCTTGATTATAAAATTTATGTTTGCACCTTCCAAAAAATTCAAAAAATATTGAAAGGAAGAAAAGAAACAAAAATCACTCCTAAACTCACCAACCAGTGATGCCCACTGGTAACACTTCGGTGGAAGTATTTCCAGACTCTGTTTTGGTCACTGTGTTCTGCTTCATCAGCCTGGGCTGCAAACTAAGCTTAACATCTCCTTCTGTAAAATCCAAACAAAAGGCCCCTGACTTTTACCTTGTGATTCTAGCCTGTTCACATTTATTGTGATTACTGTCATGTTTGGACTTTTGATGCATTTTCCCCTTTAAATCTTTGCTTCTTCATTCCCATTTTCTATGGAATCCATTGCATTTTCTTGCTCTGTTTTTCTTCTGTCTTGGTTTGGCAGTGGTACATTTTATTCCTCTTGGCCTTATATTTGAACCCACAAACTAGGAGCTATTTTATACTATCTCTTCAGGCTTCCCTCTCCTCTTCCGTCCTCTCAAATAGATGTCTTTTCTCCTTATTTCATTAAGGAAAGAGAAACCAACAGTCTGAGTCTCTCACCAGCTCACCTGCCTTGGGGCCCCCCCACATTCTCCCTTCCCTCCTGCCACTGTAAACACCCTATGCACCCCTCCTTATCCTGGCCAACCCCTCCCTGTGTGCCCTGTAGCCCACCTCTCTACCTGCTCAAGTCTCCCCTCTCTCTTTGGCATCTTTCCCTCCCCACTGGACCATTCCCATCCATGTACAAATATGTGTTTTTTCCCCTCAGTCATCAGAAAAGCCCCCTTCTCCCTTTCAACTTCTCTCTTCAGCTGCCCTCCTCCTTTTCTGCTTTTATTTATGATACCATTCCACGAAAAGATTGTCGATGCTCATCTGCAATTTCTCTTCTCATACTTTTTTGGATCCATTCCCATTAAGTTTTTACCCCGTCACTCATGGTCGCCAGTGATGTCCCTGCTATGAGTTCAGTGGCATTTTCAGTCTTCATCTTACTTGAGCCATTGCAGTCTCTGAGCCTCCTCCCTCCGTAAGACCCGCTGGGCCGGGTCTCCTCCCCTCCCCTGCTTCTCAGTCTTTTTGGCTGGTTCCTTCCCTTCTCCCCACACTCTCATCCTTGGGGCCCCAGGGCTCAGTCCCTGGTCCTCTTTTCTGTCTCTCTCCTCTATCATGGGACAAGTCACCCCTTTAAGGACCTCTTCTTGGAATGATAGACTTTAATCCAACCCCCTAAACATAGTGGCCCATTGAAACAGTCTAGGCCCAGATGGAGCTGTTCCTGCCCAGGGCGCCAGGCCAGCAAACAGAAACTTCGATGATGTTCGTGTCCGCATAAATGCCCCACATTGACCAGAAACGCAATATATCGGTCATCCTACCCCCACATGCCAAGCCAGCCCTGGGCTCTCTACTTATTACCTTGTTGCTTCTCATCCCAAACAAGATTGACTCTGGCCCCAGCCAATCCAATCTTGTCTATTTTTCTCATCCTTGTTCTGCATTCTTCATCCTATCAAAGCCCCCCACCTCCCACCCCAATTTGGCCGTTCTCAGAATGGTTTTGGTCCACGTCACAAAGTGTTAAATAAAATTTGTTTGAAATGTTGCAGAAAAATGTGTTACAGCTCAGTGTTACAGCTCGGTGTTACAGCTCAGTTGTGACAGCAACCTGGATCCAGGAAAGAGACCAAGCAGCACTCGCAGAGTTGTTGGAGAACTCAGGTTTATTACGCCAGCCAGCCCAGAGGACTTAACACTCCAAACTCTGGACCCCTTCTGTAGGTTTACGCAGACTTTTATAGGCTGCCAGTTTACACTTTGCAACATCATATGCAAATAAAGCATAACAAAAGTTGACTAATTAGGAACAAGCTTTGTAGAAATAGACCAATCAGGAGGAAGAGAAATAACCAATCAGGAGTGAGGGAAATGGACCAATCAGGAGTGAGCTCAGGGAAACAATAGAATTTTGGGGGTAAGTTCCACTTTCCTAGAAGTAAGCCATTTCAGAGGCAAAAAGTGAGATAGAGCCTCTGGGCCAGGAAACCGGATGGTGCTGGTGGGAGAGTAGTGGCCCTGCCTGGGAGTCCTGCCGGTCTTTTTATGGGGCTTCCCACCTCAGTATCACCTCAGTTGTCTTCTTTAATCATTTTCTAACAGGCCTAACAAACGTCTCACACCTACTGTGGCCAAAGCTAAGCTCCCTCTGAACGTGCACCTCTGAGCCTTTCCCGGTCTCAGCTTTCGGGGACTCCATCTTTCCAGTGCTCTGGACAAAACCCTGGAGTCATCCCAGTGACACCTCAGATACTGTTTGCCAGGAGGTCCCATTGACTCTACCTTTAAAACGTGGCCAGGACGTGCTTGCTTCTCACCTCTTCCACTGCTGCCTCCTTGGTTTAAGCCATGGTCACATTTCCCTGGATCACAGCAGTGGTCTCCTTACTGGTCTCCTTACTGGCCTCCTTGCCTCCACCTTTGAGACTTTGCCATCTACTCTCCACACAGAGATAGAGGGATTCTGTTTTACTTTGTCGACAGAGAAACTTAATCAATTTAAGAAACAAATGGAAACCTTTATTCAAGCCAAAATGAGGCTTATAAGCTGAGAGATAGTCTCTCAGAAAGCTGGATAAAGGGGAGGCCAGTATGTAAGTGATTTTGGTGAAGGGAGTACGAGCAATCAATCACACATCTCGGTGGAAGGTGGCTGCTAGTCGTGAGGAACAGACATCTTAGGGTTTTTGTGCTTTTCTAAGTATGGAAGATGCGAGAATCCAGGTTCATAAAAATTTTCTCCCAATAATATCTAATTATCCGAGGGCCTGTTCTGCCCATTTTCCCAGAGCACGGAGCACCCTGTCCTGATCTTCGCCCCGAATTCCTTTCAGGGTGGGTCAGCAACTGCAGTGGCTGGTGCCTTGATTCTTGTAGAACCAAATGATGGGCCACATATTTTAGTCTAAAGTCCGTTCCCTTTTGGTCTTAAATTTGACCCAGGTTTGGGAGGCATTTTGATCAATTTGTCCCACAGCTAGGAGGGCTCATTTCCAGGTTAGGTGAGGATGTCATGATGGGCCACTCAGTGTGCTCTTACTGGACTAGGCCCTGTTAACAGTAACCAAGAGCTCTGGGCTGCCTGTCCCACCGTCTGTCGTGGTCCAGGAAACCGCTGCTTCTTTCCACATCTAGAATTACACTATGACAATCATTGCTCTTATATATTTGCTCTGTATTTTTGATCAATTGTTTCCAGTCATCTGATCATCATTAATTTTATCAGAAGCTCAGTCACACATTTGGTAATGTCAGAAACAATAATCTTTTAAAATAGGCCGAATACAGGTAACATAGCT